GTGTTAAGAGGCAAGGCCCCAGTCCTGAAGGGCCCCCCCATTATAACCTCCCTAGCATCACAGCAGACTAGTGCAACCAATAGATCTCGTCAAGGTGAAGCGATTGATGTCCATATTGGCACGTTTTAGCCACTGGTGACATTGTATCAGGACCCCTTCGACATTGTTCCCGGAGCCCCGGACCCACCACCCCACATGCTGCCGTACAACCAACTTTGGAGACCAATAACTTATGTATTCCTGGGTCCATTTGCATTCTGAAAGCAGATATAGAACGCTCCCGTCTAGCTCTTTGAGAATGAAGCATATGCACCCCCCCAGAAGTGCCTACCCCCCCTGCTGCAACACCAATTGCTCACCGGGGTGACTGCAACGTTGGCCCATAGCGTCGCCATGGAACTGCCCGTGACGGCCCAGGCGACCCAGTGGGGGCTGTCCAGCAGGAGTTCCTTGAAGATGCTGCAGTACACACGACAGTTGAGGGAAGGAAAATGGTCCATGTGTCAGCTCCTTTGTGTCCTACGCCTGCTGTAGGCATGCGTGCAGACCTCTGCCCCTTGTGCAATATGCTTATGTTGTACAATTGAATCTCGCAGCGATCTCCCCTTAGTGCCTTCTGCCCCTCGTGTGAAGCTCCACCTGGGCGCGTTTCACTGGCCATTGCCCCTCATCCTCGCCCATGTGATCACACGACACGGTTAGGGAAACCTTGTGCTGATTTACCGCCGCATGTGCCGCACTGCATCCTCGTCCAGTGTTGAGCCGCGGACAGCGACTTTTCGCCGCGGACTTTTGCCGGGCGACTTTTTGCCGGGCATGGCCCGCTCAAGCAGGTAAAAACTCTGCGCCTCGTCAATCAGCAGGAAGTTCAGGCGGTCCCGTGGCAGGCGCCGCATGAAGTTCCGAATGGCACCTGCTGCGGTGACAGCCGAGTTGCCGCTGGGTGCAGGCGTGCTGGCGGCAGCAGAGAGCCGCTGGTCGGCGGCACTCTCCTTGAGTACAGCGAGGAATTCCTTAAGGAAGCCACTGACACCTCTGCTGCGATCACAGCCCAAGCAGTTCACATGCAGGAAGTTGGGCTCTGAAAGCACCGTGCCAGCGTGCTGCCGGCCACTGCCGCCGCTGCTGTAGTAGGTGTTGGCCACAGCAGGCAGAACCTCGTTTAGCATGTAGGACTTGCCAGTCTGCACAACGGGCACAAGATGGGCGCAAGATGGTAAGCGTGCATTCCCCTTGGTCGCTCAGCTGTGCATTACTCAATAGTGCACAAAGCTGCATGCATCACCCATCTACCACGCCTAATCTTCTCACTCCAAACCCTGTTCCATGTGGGTTGGACACAAGCTGCACAAGGAGCTCTCCATCCTTGGTCAGGCCGTTATATCCCACCTTGACCAGACCGTTGATGAACAGCGGCCGGATGGGTCTCCCCATACAGTACTCATCCTCGGCAAGGTCCAGCCACTTCTTCAGCTCAGCTATCTGCCTGCCCTCGGGGTCCAGGAAGAACATGCTGTTCACGCCAGCACTTGTGGCAGCTGCAGCGCTGACAGTGTCCATGGGCTCAAAGAAGAACAGGTCCTGGTTCTGCGAGTCTTGCCGGAGCTGCAGCTTGCAAGCTGGCAGGCCTGCACAAGGATAGCCCATCGTGCCCACAAGGCGCATACACATTAAACAACCAGCAGCTGTCGCCCAGTTCCAATGCATGCAGGATCACAACGAAGGGGTGCAGAGCAGCAAAGTGACGAAGCAACTTCAAGCTGAATCAAGCCAGAAGTCACACCCCTCAGTAGCAAGAGGGTGTATGTCATGCAGAACACTGAACCGCCCCTTTATGGTAGAGAAAGAGTGTGCTGTCACACAGGGCTGCACAATCGCAGGCCCAACAGGCTGGAACGTGTAACTGCCGAGTGTTATCACTATGCATGTTGCCCGCCTGCCGAGGGACAAGCCCTTCATGGACATGTTGGCGCTAGTGCTGTAAATGAGCATTCTGGTGAAGTCCCCCCTCCCCCGCTCTCCATTCGTTGTGGCCTGCGGCCTGAGGGTTGGTTGCTGTCCAGGAATGTGAGACCTGACAAGGCTGAGAGTGGGAGCCTGGCTGGTGCTTCCTCTACTGTAGGGCCCAACTCCGCCTCATAACACCATCACAACACCTGTGGAAACGTTAGTACGGTGCATGAGCAGGCCTAGCAGTTTGGGAAGGGGTGTGTAAGCAGCGATGATGGGAGGTGGTAATGGCTGATAATGGTAATGGCTGGTAATTGGTGTCCATGCACTCAAGCCCAGCGCTGCAATGAAACGGCACACCAAGCCCACAACACCTGTTCCCCCCCTTCCCGCGTCAGGCACAGTAGGCTCACCTGCAGCAGCGTTGCTGGTGCCAGCGTCAGCATCTGCAGGCGGCAGGCCCAAGGCAGGCTGAGCAGGGTGGATCACCAGAACACCCACGCTGTACAATATGAGCAGCATTAAGTCATCAAGCATAATGATCATTATGCATTGTTATGCTTGACGATGTTGCAGCATGTGTGCACATCATAGACATGGTCGCCAGACAAAGTGCAGGGCGGGCCACTATCACAATGGGGCGCACAGCTGCACGGCTGGGTGCTGTACTTTTTACAGCTGGCGGTATAGTGTCTACACAATGCTTTTACACGGTGAGCATGTTCACCAGCAGCCGCCGGCAGCAAACATGCAGGGGGAGGAAAGTATAATGGATCCCAGTGAGACAGCAGCTTTATCCGTGCCGCTTTATCCGTGCCGCGAGCAGTGACAACCCCATCGGTCAGTCAGGCAGTCAGTCGCCATTCGGACACGATCAGCTGTGCCCATAGCAGCCAAGGTAGATCCCCTGCCATGGCCAGCCTACTCCACCACAATCTTCGCAGTAGCTCAATCACGTACATACTGAACCACCTCAGGATGTTTGAAATGCTGCTTTTGCTTAAGTCAAGTCGCCAATGAGGAGAATTTCACATGTATACTTAGGGTTTGACTGGCAACCAAGCGGGCCTTACACTGCAAGACCCTGTTACCGGCCGCCTTCCACCCGAAACCATTTAGATTGACACTAAAATATCTTTCGAGTTTTTGCAAAAACAACTTCGGGTGGCTGCACTGGGGCCCTGGAAGCCGTGCTTCGCACGGACTCAAAACCATTTGGATCACTACGGGGTACCTCAATTTCCTCTGTAGGGCAAAGTAAAATATTCTCTAAAATGTCTATTGGGACTCTGTTTTCGGTCACCGACTTGGGGGTCACCGACCTCTGCCAGCAGGGTCAGGCATGCAAAATGGATGCAACACAACCATGTGCACGCGATATGGGGCCAGCAAGCTGCAGCTCACGAAGGACTTTCTCCACCAAGTTTGCCGATGCCCGTGAAGGGAACTAACCAAGCTAGCGCCACCAGCAGCTCAGTGCGCTATCGAGAAAGCTTGCACATCCGATTTACTCTCAACCACAAAGACTAGAAACACCGTCCTAAAGTCACTATACAAACAACGCCTATATTAGGGTTTACTGTTGAGGAAGATCATCCGTCACAGCAATAACCTTTCCTGCAAGTTATTGTTTACGTCTTGCAAGCTATTGGTTACGATACCGGAGACAGGTTACAATACCGGAGACAGGACAGAAACCCCCTCTTAAGCAGAAAACTTCTCCGACACCTTCTCCGACAGGGCGATCAGTCGCATGCCGAACTTCAGATGTACCGAAAGACAACCAGCCTCACGGTCCATGCCACTCAATGTGTGCACAGCAGCATCCAAGATGCTAAAGTTGATATCTTGGCAGCGAGAGCAACCACCACGAGCAGGAGTCTATGCAACGCAGGCTCCTCGGCAAAGGATGACCTAGTTGGTGGCACAGGAACCGCGCTTAGAATTTACCTAAGGCCTGCCGAATGGCATCCACCACGCCAGGCGCCAGATGCGCTTGAACGAGATTTTCCCGTGTAGCTGCACGCAGGCGCGCAGCGGTCCGGTACTTGGCTGCCCACAGCAGCTCCAAGTCCTCTTCATCCAGCCCAGCAGAGTCCAGGCCAGCCTCTGTCAATGCAGCGCACATACGCTGCCTGTCATCTGGCGTCATTGCGCCAAACGCCAGCCAACGCCACCGGTTCTCGCAGGTTCTGCTTCAGCTGCGTCGACCCCAAATAATTAGTGGAAACCCTCTACGGGAATACTACGGCTGCAAGTCGACGTCAGCGTTACGTTTGTTGCATTTTGCAGCTGCGGCAGCACCTAAGCTCTGATCAGAATCCAACGAGTGTGGCTTATGTATTCAAGCCGTGCTGGAATAAGTGACGTGGAGCACCTATCAGGAAATTTTGCAAAGGACCAATGAACACAAGATGTTATATGTTGTACGGGCCGTACTGCTCAGCAAAACATGTGTCCCCCACAGAGTTTGTCAAATCGGTTTCTACAGCTGCGGGAGGGCATAATTTCGGTAATTAAAACTAAAAAAATGTGGCGCCTTCCGGCGCCAAGGAAAACAGCATTTCAGGGCTGCACGTTCCGTACACATTGCAGGCCGAGGGGCGACAAGGGTTCGTCGCCAGGCAAGTTCTTGCGCCATGAAGCTCGCTCCTTCGCTCCTTCTGTGGTTAATGTATAATCTGCCTGAAGTTGATACGGTTGAGGGATGCTGGGCGGATATTGCTGGCCTGAGTATCACTGGCGGAGCCCTGTGAGGTTCACACTCGCACATGTAGGAGCCCAAGTGCTGTGGCGCAAACCCCTGGCTTGGTGTTTATTATGGCCAAGGAAGGAGCAGCATGTAGGCCCGACCTAGTGCTTATGTGCTGAGCCAAGGCTGGATGTGGACGTGTTGGGCGATTGGCAGAATCCTGGAGTAGTCGGAGTGTGCGTAAGAGGGGGATGACGTGTTTAGTGGTGTTTTGATTACCGTCGTGGCAGGGGGCAATGATATCTAATACATTCCCTTTATGATGAAGCGTCGAAATGGGAGCGTTTCGCGGTGCATTGTCGTCCCGTGTATGCATCCCTAACAAGGGTTCAGGCGAGTTGATGAAGCAGCCGTAGTGCTTCCTTTTAGGAGTTGCAGCGGTGGGGTGAGGATCAGGGCTGCGTTTGCGCATGGACTGCTGTATGGCATTTGCTGTTTCTCATGCATCAGTTTTTGCTTGTGATGGAGGTAGTGCTATGTACATGATGGTTTCACCACTCCTCGTACGTCTGTGAAGGTTTGAAGGTATAATGTGGTGGTAAGCTAAATCGCCGAGTACGGCATGCTGCGTTGAATCACCTTATTCTATTTCATCGTTGGGATTTGCCCGGCC